CTCAGGCCGCCCTAGCCCGGGGCTCCCCGGGGCCCGATGCCCCCGAAGTCAGAGAAGCCTGCAGCGCCCCGGGGCTCCTTCCCACTAGCAAAGCGCACGAGGGGGGCGGGGGGGCTCACCCCGGCCGGCCCCAGGGGTGCGGGGCATTGCAGCCCCGCAGCTCCACCCATCTTAGCCTCACGCCCAAGGGCGGCGCAGCCCTGTTGCCTGGGGGGCCGTGCGGGCGCACCCGGCCGGAATCACACACGAGGGCACCCGGGGAAGCCCCAGACCCCCGAGGCGGGTACCGTCCGGCGGCCCCTCGGGTGGGCCCTGCTGAGACCCGCGGTGCCCAGCGGCTCTGGCTGACCCGCAGGACATGCAGGTCCCGGGGTCCGGAGCAGACACACGGGCCTCTGGGTGCAATCGGGGGCGAGCGGCTTTGGGGGCTCGCCCTGCCCCTGGGTTACGTCCCAGAGCGGGGAGACTGGACCCGAGTCTCGTTTGTGAAGTGTTTTCGGAAACCAGAGCCCACGAGGCCGGGGCGGGGTCAGCCCCCGGGGGGCGGAGTCCCTGCTGGTCAGGCTCTACCCAGCTCCCCAACACCCGTTTTCCACTTTTCCGTAAGGCCCACTCCTGATCTCTGAGCTGGTGTCTGTGCTGGGGGCCACGACGAACTGGCCACTGGCCCCACAGCCTCTGCCTTCCCCAAACTGGTGACTCCACACGTGGGCCCGACTTTCTGACCAGAGCCAAGCTGCGTGTCCTCAGCAGGGAGCTGGACGCGAGGCCAGGTGGGCGCCGGGGCCGGGCCCTGCGGGCCGGGGGTGCGGGGCTCTACACGACCGCTGTCCTGCCGGTGCTGAGCCAGACCGGGGCGCCTGGCGTCCGGTGAAATCGGGGGACAGCGAGGCTCTGGCCAGGCGCCCGCAGGCAGGGCAGGGGCCTCAGAACCAGGGAGGCCGGTGACCGGCCCTCGGGGAGACTTGGCCCTGGTGCCCCGCCCCACCCCGCGGGGCGGGGGCGCAGATGGGCCTGAGTGGGCGGCGATGTCCTCCCGCCCGCACCCCTCCAGCGTCCAGCTGCACCCGGCGGTGGCCCCCGTGAACCCCGGCGGCCTTGGGAGCCGGCGAGGCCAGTGCCAGGCACGGCACTTGATTCAAAGTGGCAAACTCCCCAGGCGAGTCTGGGTGACAGCAGGGTCAGAACCGACAGGGTGTGCGCCTCGGGTTGGACTCAACCCTCGGCTCTGTGCCACGTTACTGCCCGGCCTTGGCGGGCGGCCTCTGGGCGGGGGGACCACGGCGCAGGAGGGGCTGGGCCGAGTTCAGGCCAGGCCGGGCACGAGGCTCCCTCCCGAGCTCGGGGTCCCACACCCGCTCGGAGCGCCCCAGGAGCCTGTAACCCGAGGGCACCGTGGTGTCTCGGGGTCCCTGCGCCCAGGGTCTCTCCCCCAAACGCAGCGCCGCGTGGGCATCTGTCCACACTGGGCTCCGGGACCCCCGGGGTGCAACTGCCCCTCACGCCCCACAGCACACGCCTGCGCTGGGCAGACGGGGCGCCTCAGGTGCAGTGAGGAGGGCCTGTAAGGGGGGCCCAGGCCCTGCACCCCTGCAACCCCTGAGCGGGGCCGTGCGGACGGGAGGGTGCACACCTCTCCTCTCGGCTGCTCTAACTGGGCAGCGGGGGGCTTGCTGTTGGGGTTCTTTCTGAGAAGGGCAGAATCTGGAGCCTCCTCAGGAAGTGAGGTTGGGGGTCCTGGCCCGGGCCCCCCTGCAAGAGCGGTGGGTGACGTCCCCAGCCCACCCCCTGCGCGGCCCCGAGCCAGAAAGAACACGGCAGGGACAGGGCGTGGGCGGCGGCGGGGGCTGGCCAGGCCGCTCCTGCTAAGGCCCAGGGCGTTCTGGGCCCAGGGCCGAGGCCGGTCTGCGCGGAGGAGCCGAGCGCAGGAGAGCTGTGAGCAGGCGCGGCGCCAGCCTCGTCGCAGCCGGCCCCAGGGCCTGCTGAGGTCCCAGGACTGTGCTGGTCTCCCGCGAGCGCCCCCGAGGGCCGACGCTGTGCTGGCCGCAGGCCGCGGGGAGCCCTGAGACGGGGGCGCTGGGGGCCAGACCCCCGAGCCCGCAGGCGCTCGGGCAGCGCCCGGGCCTCGTCCCTCACGTCACCCAGGGCCAGCGTAGACGCAGAATCGCAGCCTCCTGCCCGCAGCCCTCGGGGAGCCCTGCCCCGCCCGGCCTCCAGCAGGCGAGCGGTCTGGCCCCAAGGGGGCTCCGGTGTCCACACCGGCCCCTGCCGGGCCCCTCTCCACACCCGTCTTTTGTTCAAATGAGAGAAGTTGGGGGAAGCAGAAAACGCGGCCTTTATTCCCAACCTGGAATCAATTACCGGCGGGGCCCACGTTCCGACCACAGCACCCCCGGCTCTGGCTCGCCAGCGCGGGCCC